CAAACCCATAAATAGTTATAAACAACTCTGGTTATATGTTGAATGCTTACTTTTTCAGGATGGTGAATGTTTACCCTAATCTAAAGTCTAGCCTTTTTTGAAGTTTTCTTTCAGGATGAGACAGTATTTTAGCCAGTTTTCCTGTACATGCTAGAGAAATGAATCCTAAAGCAAGATGTGAAAATACTTTCTCTTTTCTCATTTCACATGAAAGATGGACAGTGAATACATATAGCGTAACTTTTTTCAATGTAAATTGATCTTTAAAACAATAAAATCATTAAATGAAAAGCTTCCATAGTAGAAAGTACTAGTGATATTTTTTCAGCATGTTTTCTTTATTTTAGATCTCTGTGTATTTATCTTTTCTTGATATACGACATCCTACTTGTAATTTTATAGGTTAATTTTCAGTAATGTAATACAGTCAGACTCGCACTACCTTTTTATATGAAATATGAAGATAAACATTTTATTAAAAGTAACTTGGGGATTTAGGCAACAGTAAGTCAATATTACAAAAACAATAGTAATTCATTCTGAGATTCACCCATGACATTCTTCTTTCTTCACTGATTTCCAGTTGGTAAAACATAAACATCATAAAGGAACTGTTAAGACAGATAAGGTCATAGCCTCTTTAAAAAAGCAGTACATTTATAAAATAAAAAATAAAAAAAGAGTGGATGCTTTAATTTTAGAGCTGGAAACATCATGCAGCCATTAGAATATTCATTTTACAAAGTGCTAGTTTGGTGTCCTATAGTTTTGGTTAGCTAGGACTACCACTAAGCATTAACAGCTCAAAGAAACAAAACATCTTCCAACACAATTTTGTAAAAGGTTTTATGAAGTTTTATCTGGCCAACTGATTTTCATTCTTTGCTTAAAGGGAATTATTGTTGTTGTAATTAGCCTTCAGTATTTTACTGTATATTTTTCAAAAATATTAAACATTTACAGTTTTCCTTCATTTTTATGTGATTTTTTTGTCTTTTTAGAGATGAAGGCTCTTCTAAATCAGCAGGAGCACGGCAATAATTACGACATGTCCAGATTTCTACCTGATACTGTGCAGATTAAAGATGAGCATGAGGAAATAAGCATCACCCAAGAAAGACCGCAGCCTTTGCAGCCTCCACAACAGCCGCAGCCTTTGCAGCATCCACAACAGCCGCAGCCTTTGCAGCATCCACAACGGCCGCAGCCTTTGCAGCATCCACAACAGCCGCAGCCTTTGCAGCATCCACAACGGCCGCAGCCTTTGCAGCATCCACAACGGCCGCAGCCCTTGCAGCATCCACAACAGCCGCAGCCTTTGCAGCATCCACAACGGCCGCAACCCTTGCAGCAACAAGAAAGGCCACAGCCCTTGCAGCAACAAGAACGGCCGCAGCCTTTGCAGCAACAAGGACGGCCGCAGCCCTTGCAGCAACAAGGACGGCCGCAGCCTTTGCAGCAACAAGAACGGCCGCAGCCTTTGCAGCAACTAGAGCGGCCGCAGCCTTTGCAGCATCAAGAACGGCCGCAGCCTTTGCAGCATCAAGAACGGCCGCAGCCTTTGCAGCAACTAGAACGGCCGCAGCCTTTGCA